AAACAATCAATCTTTTACACACCAATTTCGGTGATAGCGCTATCAGCCGTTTTGGAGACGTTCATAGGCAAGCCCTCAGCTGTGAGTTGACACCCATGGATTACTGTTAAGAACCGCTGTTACACTAACGATCCTCAAACAATTGATGTTCTTCACTAACCATCGAAAATGTGCTTCAAAATTGTGTTAAGAGGATGGACTACTGCCAGGCCAGCCGCGGCAGCCATTGTGAAATTGTTTTTCATAAATAATCGGAAGGTGTATTTTTTTGAATAAAGTATCGAGAGTTACATATTATTAAAGAGGGTAGTTTCAATACCAATTTAAAAAAGAAACCAAAGGATGGCCCACCCTTTATATTATGTAGTTCAAATGAGCCTGCCCTCTTGCCCAGAAACCAGGGTACACGTTCCCGAAGGGTTTTTATGCGCTGATGCGGATTCAGACCTGTGGTCCAAATTTGCTCTAGTTTTCGGAGATACGCCAAAATAGCGATTTTTGCCTATATTTAAAAATATGTAACATTGCGAATCAATCTTTTCATTTCTATGATCTAGGTCGATTCTGCTTCTATCAGAAGAAAGTGCTTCTTTAAAGTGTGTAACTGAAAGTAACAACGTTAAACTCGGGCTTGATAGGGTACAGCGTGTTTAGGTAAGATTTAGATATTTTAAGCATTTATGGGTTTTTTAGTTGTCGGGCCTTATTAAAAGAAGTTAACCTGTTATAAAATTTTTGGAGTATCATAATCCAAGCCACAACTTTCATGGCAAAGCTCAACGTTGTTACTTTCGATTGCAAACTTTTTTAAGTATAAAAATCACTTTTTACCAAAAGGCTTATACTTTAAGATGGTGTCTTTGGTTTTTAGTAAAAAATAATTCGTAATTCTACATAACCTTAAATATAGGCAAAACTCTGGTTTCTGGGTAAAAATCTTGTCGGCGCGTATAATCATATTTACTAGGTTTTAGCCTGATTATGCTGCGAGTATAACCATTTACGTATCTTTTCATGGCTCTCAGTTGCAAATGGATATTTCGAGAGCAAATCTTTGTATTCACATATCCACTCTGCGAAAGCTCTATTCATCTCCACTTGTTGATGGCCATTACGGGAAACTTTCGGAGTTCTCTTTAGCATGATGATTCGAGCTTCCGAAGGAAATATAAGGCCTAATTTATGAAACCGGTTACCTATTACTCCTACTTTCTGCTCTTTTTGGCTGTAGTCCAGGAGAACTAGTTATTGTCATTCGATAAAGTCCAATATTTCTATTGTCACCGAGAGCGAATTTATTAATTTGCAGTGCCGCATACTCGGAAAAGCATAAAAAAAATCGTATTTTGTTCTTATTGTAAATCTTGATATTAAGATACCAACGTTGTGCGACGGAAGATACAAGATGACCAATTTAAAATAGGATAATGCTTTTATAGAAAATGAACCAGCAGAATTGCAATTTTTAATTGTTGCGTATGTTAACTTGTTCATCGTAGTTTGCATAGCGCTGATGCATGGACGGTCGAGTTTCGAATAAAATGTGATAGATATTTTTTATACTTAAGCATTGATTAACGTATTCTACCCGAATATAGCCGAACTAATGTATTCCCGCTGTTACGACTTTTTTTTTGTTGTAAATTATAGTTGCATAGATTTTACGAATTAGAAGTTTCTCTACTACTTACTCGTTTATTAATTCATCAGATACGATATAGGTAGATAAGAATATATGGATCTCATACCCTTGCTAAAATTTATTGTGTTTAGGGGTATACAGGGTTATCCAAATTAAGTGTCCACCATTAGTAACTTTGTTATTAGTGAAAATACAAAGTTGTTTGAATTAGCAAACTAGTAGCATTTTTAACGCTGGTAAAAATGAGAAATAAAAAAAAACAATTGAGAGTCGTTATTTTTCAGTAAAATAACATTTTTTTTAATTGAAACCCCTGTATATTATATTTTTTTCTGTTAAAGCATCAAATTTTAAACAAAAAAGCTTACAATAACTTTTCTCCTAGGTTACAAATTGTTGAAGTTATGGGCTCCAATCTGAAACAATTAAATTGTATCGACAAACTTTATTTTCAACATCAACTTATAATCTTACAAAATACAATAACAATTTTTTTTAAAGAAGATGCTCGAAAACACCACCTTGTTCTTCAATACATTTTTGGGCACGTTTTTCAACTGCTCGAACTGTCTTAAGTATGGTCCTACCATCTATCTGGGTTATCTTTTCCCTAACTGCAGTCTTTAACGCGTCAAGGTTATCGTACCTTCGCTTGTAAATTTGGTTCTTTAAGTAACCCCACAAGAAGTAATCAAGTGGGTTTAGATCTGGTGATCTGGGAGGCCACTGTATTGGGCCATTTGTTCCTATCCACTGATCATTAAAAGTAGTACTTAGAAAATGATAAGTACCTCTGGAGTTGTGGGCAGCTGCGCCATCTTGCTGAAAATGCAGATGATGTCTACTTATAAGATCCAATTCGTCTAAGAAATTAGTCAGAATTTCTGACATAAATTCCACATATCTTTCACCAGTTAGGGTTCCCTCATAAAAGAACGGGCCAACAATTTTTGAACCAATTATACCGCACCAAACGTTGAAACTGAAACGGACTTGTGGGCCTCTTGGATGTACTAACAAAAGATTTTCTCTTGACCAATAATGGTGGTTTTTTCTATTAAACATTCCAGAATTTGAAAAATTTGATTCATCTGTCCATAAAAGGTTAAAATCCTTTGAACAGTACCATAACTGAAATTAGAGTCCTTGAGAATATCTGCTAATGAATCCTCACGATAAGCTTCAAAATATCCAATAACTGCAATTTCCGTGGCCTCGCTTATTATGAATTCTTTTTTTGCCCTTGTTTTAGCAAAAACATTTTCGTTGCCCCTAAATTTTCGATGAAGTCTCAGAAAATATCGTTCATACGGTTGAATGCGAGCGGGATATAATTCACTGTAGTATTCTCTTGCTCTCAAGGAGGATTTTCTGCACACTAAATAGCATTCTAACATATCACACTTTTCTTCATGGGAGAACATTTTTCTTTAAATTAATGACACAATAAAGCTTATAAACAAGTATTTACACTAATGTTTGACATTATTTGATTTTATCATTGTTTTCCAAAGCCTTCTAGTTGCGAGTATGTCCAGTTTAACAATTTGTCGCTTATCTTAATGCTGTCAAATCCCGAACGCCATGTTGTTTTCATAGCCGTCTTAATATTATAATACTGCAAATAATTAAAAATATTTATCGTTATTTTGACTTTATTTTTGACTTTAGCGGAAAAGTCATTATGAACTTTTTTGTTTAAAATTTGATGCTTTAACAGAAAAAAATATAATATACAGGGGTTTCCATTTAAAAAAAATGTTATTTTACTGAAAAAAATCAAAATAACGACTCTCGATTGTTTTTTTTTATTTCTCATTTTTACCAGCGTTAAAAATGCTACTAGTTTACTAATTTAAACAACTTTGTATTTTTACTAATAACAAAGTTACCAATGGTGGACGCTTAATTTGGATAACCCTGTATATGAAGAAAAGTAATGTATTTACGAAATGTTGTGTAATTTATAAAAGCATTCCTTGCAGATATGTGGTTTCTCGGGACATCGGGCACATATGTAGCGTACTGTCTTGGCCATTTTCTTTGCATATTTCCTTCCCTGCGCCTCAGAAAATCTTGTATAACAGCTCTTGCAACTACTTCGAATTATTTTATTGTCGTTATTTGCAACTTCTAACTTGTGAGTGCTCCGTGGTGGTCTTCCTATATTATCATTGGAGGGCTGTCCATAGTGAAGGAACTGTGAGCACAAATTTTCCCTGAACTTTATTATGGATGTACTTTTTCTATTGACTTTATTATAAAGAAAAAGCGAATTTACGACTGTTGTTCCCATTAAAAGCTCTACTGCTACCTTCCGATACCATTCCAAAGCTTTTCTGACAGCCGAAGGATAAGACGATTTCTGATCAGAGATATCTATGAATGATTTGCCTGCATTGTATTCCATAATGGCAACCGATCTTTGTCTCTCTTGGTCAGATTTTTCTGTACTGTGTTTTGTAGTAAGCATAAGGACATCACGTTTGTCCTTCCACTTGAATACTGTTATGCCATCGTCACTTTACATGCCTAGGATTTGGCCGCGCTTTAGAGAAGTTGTGATGACATTTTTGGGGTTGCATTTTTGATTACTACGTAAAGTCCCAACAAGATGAGTTGAACGTGCTAATAGTTATCTCGCCAATCCCACACTAGTGTACCAGTTATCCGTAACTAAAATCAAAATAACGACTCTCAATTGTTTTTTTTTTATTTCTCATTTTTACCAGCGTTAAAAATGCTACTAGTTTGCTAATTCAAACAACTTTGTATTTTCACTAATAACAAAGTTACTAATGGTGGACACTTAATTTGGATAACCCTGTATACATATACATAGCATTTTGTATTTCTGCTTTCACCTGTTGATCCCCTCCCTTCTGGTCGACCTGCCCTAGTAAACCTGAAACAAAACTTAATAATTAGCAGATACTTAACTCACACTATTGTAGTCAAATTACTTGTTCCCTTTTATAAAATAGTGCCCCTGAAGCAACACTAGTCATTGTTTATAATTTTATAACCTTTGTAGCAATGAAATTTGTAAACAGGTGTCATGTCGGCTGTCACTGTCAAAGGTGAAAATCATAGCATGCCAACTGGCGTGGAAATGTCAGGCGCGAGACGCGCGCAACAAGTAAGGAAAAAAAGATCGCCATTGCAATTTTTCGGTATCGAACAGAGGGTCTGTTTCGCAATTGCGGATTTGGTTCCGAAAAATAGCTGAATAGAAGGAAAATCTTCACAATTTCAATTGCTGTAGGCGTTCGCACCACTAGTATAGTGGGATCACTAAGATTGGAAGATTTCCCTCCACTTTAAAGGCCACCCTACACCCTAGGTAGGTAGCTTACCTTTTTATTGCTGCCTTCAGCGTAAGCTTGAAGCATTAATGTAGTGCCTGATTAAATGCTTTGTAGTGCATGTAGCTTATGCTTGACTTTTGTCCACAGGCCTTTATCTTTTTCTTTCTTCTCTTCTCTCCTTCAACGTCTTCTACTTCCTGTACATTCTCTTCTTCATTCCTCGTACATAACTGAGACCAGGATTTGACCAGAACTACATTCTGCAACCTTAGAGGATAAACTGCTACATTGAACCAAGCATCGCTTGAAACCTTAACGTTGAACCGCCTTGGCTGACTTTCTGCTACATTCCTACATTTCACCATAATGAGCGCTGGTTAACACCACCAAGGGACCTCCAACAGGTTATTCCAGAGATTACAGGTCAGACTAGACTATAAGGTGTATGTAAGACTTCAGGTTTCTTTGACAGCTGAAATACAGAGTACCAGATTTGTTCGCTGTAAGATGATTATCCACTAGTTTAAGATCACTTTGTACATGTTTCACTTTTCAGTGCGCATACTTACCTAGCAGTGGATCACGCCATAGACATATCTTTCGTAACACCTCACCTTGCCCAGTAAATTGTGTAATATTAGACATAGCATATCTGAAAGCAAGTGTTACGACTTATTGTAGTCTTAGAAGGTAACATATAAGGTAGCGACCTCTGTTTTCGTGGGATTCTTATACATAGCATACGGCGTTTCCAAGAAATATATATCGTTTCAATCTGAACTTTGTAATTTCTTTCATTGTCTACGATTTCTACAGACAGTTCGACAGGTTGAAAATTTGACACCGAGGAACCACGGAAGTCCATATAGAACTGGACTCCCTGACGCCGCTACCTGGGAGTAGTCACGGCGATTGTATAGTAGTAGTACTTTTTACAGCACATAATAGGCATTCCTAAACTAGTAAATTAGTTGGCGGGTGATCACCGATCGATTGTCGTCGTCTCGACCACCCACACCCGTAGCAACTGGCGCCAAACGTAGCAACTGGCACCAAGCGTAACACCGCATCCAAAAAATTATCAGATAATTTACTTTATATACTTTGAAAACCTTAGTATCTCATAGATAGCGCTGTAGCCACCTATATCCGCGTATATGCTTATATCACAGCGCCATCTATGAGACAATAATGCTTTCAAAGTATATAATGTAGAAAGAGAAGCAGTTGTGACAAATTCCCATCAATGACGATACAATATCTCATTCTAATTCGGATAATTCTTCGGACGCGGGAACATAGCATTAAGTTAGCTGTCTTCATGTAGAGTACGTTCATTAATGATTTAAGTCATCGGTCTTTCTTATGGTATAATGGAACCTTTGCGATTGAGACTTCCACAGGAAAAAGTCCATCAGCGCCAAATTTGGTGATTGCATTGGCCATACAGTATTAACGAATATAATAAGACTGTTCGGCATTCTGAATATTTTTGTCGCTCTACGAAATTTTTTCGGGTTTTTTGCGTCTACTATGTTGTAAAAAAATAGCAAATCCACTTTTTTAGAAAATATACTTCTTATTGTATAAAAAACAATAAAACAATGTTTGGTTGTTTTTTTCGCTTGTATTCGCCAGGAGCGTTTTCACGTTTAGTGGTCCAGCAGTAGTTCGCCAACATTTTCCATGGAGAAGCGCTGTACTCCTCCATCTGAGCAGTTGGCTGGTGAAGTCTTTCATCGCGCTCGTCTTAAACTGCACCCAAATTGTCAGGGAAAAATTCTTAATGGGAGTGAAGAAGTGAATAAGATGGCTATTCTTCTTCTCCTTGTAGTTGTCCGACTTTTTGTTGCCTAGGAAGGTGCTACATACATTCTTGCAGGCATCCCATGCCCTTTTTCCCTTTGTTGAAAGTGTAGTTTTAAAATTTTTGTCTTTAAAAACTTCTCTGTTCGAGAAAATTCCTTCTTTAAGGCTTGCTTGACATATTCGCCGAAATTTCCGTCTCAAATGAAGAAAAGCATTTCCTTCTCTATCTAAGGCCCTTACGAAAATTTTTAGAGGCCCTAGTTTCATATGCATAGGAGGTAAATGAACTTTCTGCTGATCTACTAAGCGCGGTTTCACACAAACCGATATTATCGGTGTCGTTATCGGAATCGGTATCGGAGAGTGCTTTCTTACACACCGATAAAAAAGTAAAACTTTGCGCCGTCTTTCATAAAAGGCCAGGGATCAGTGCGGTGTGTGTAGCGTCTCGGAACAGTTTATTATTTAATATGAACAAAAAAGCTGTGTTTTTATTATATTTGCTGTATTTGCGAAAAAAGAAGTGTCGAGAAAAAAGACGAAGACGATATTGGGTCCATCCCATATTATCTCAAAAATATGTAGAAGGAGCATTTTATACAATGTTTGAAAAATTGCGCGAGCATGATGAAAAGTTTTTTAACTACTTCAGAATGAGCACAGCTACATTTGACTACTTACTAGAAAAGTTATCATGTAGCTTACAAAGACAAGATACTCAAATGAGATTATGTGTACCTCCAAAAGAAATGCTGGCAATAACACTGAGGTAAGTGATTAAGGAAATTCTTTATTTGCATTTAAAGTAACATATAAAAATTCTTACATAAACTTATCTTTGACAATAAAAATAATTCATACACTATTTTGGCAATGTTGTGAAACATCTTGTGAGGTGCTACTTGTTGATATATATGACCCTTCTTGAAAAAACGACGGATAGTTTGTCGTTGATGGGTTTGCTGCTTGTAGAATAGTATATGACGGAGATGAGACTGCAGAGAAATCAGACACAGGAGAAGTAGAAAAGGTGATGCTAGAGGTGCTTATGTGACGATTTCGTTTAATTTTTTGAATTAGCTGCAGTACTCCCATCCTAAACTCAATTTTTTCCTCTTCTGACATTGTTGTTATCATAGGAACAACGGAATTGAAGAATGACTCATCTTCATTGGAAGGTTCATTTAGTTTTTTCCTAATTTCCAATTCAATGGGGTCTGCAAGCCTCTTGCGGCCTTGGCGAGTTTTACTTGCATGGGAACTTCTTGAACTGGCTTTAGATATTGCTGGTGTAGGTGGGACCTCATTTGAATTTTCAGTTTCTTCTCCTTGGTGCACTTCCTCATCCGAAATACTAGAGATCGTTTCATCTTTATTCATAACTTGTAACAAAAATTGCAGCTGATCATGGTAAACATATTTTCGTTGTACACCCTGTCCACTCTTTTTCTTAAGGGATCTAACAAACGCATCTCTTATATTTTGCCACTTTGTTGTAATAGCGTCACCTGAAATAGATGGTATACATAGATATTTTTTTCAGATATTTGGCAAGTGGAAACACGTTCACGGATATGCATTATGCCTACAGATTAGGAGTTTCAGCCATAAGCAAGATTATAAAAGATGTTTGTCATAGTATTTGGAATATTTTGAAAGATGAATATCTTCCAACTCCAACAGTAGAAAATTGGAAGGACATTGCTGATGGATTTACAAGAAATGCTCAGTTTCCGCTCTGCATAGGAGCTGTGGACGGGAAACACGTCCGAATTATGAAGTTTCCAGGCAGTGGATCGATTAATTTGAATTATAAACATTTTTTTTCGATAGTCCTAATGGCTATTGCGGATTCTAATTACCGCTTTATATACGTAGACATAGGTGCCTTTGGTAAGGATTGCGACTCATCAGTATTTAAAGAAACCGTGTTTTGGAAATTATTACAACAAAATGCCTTGAATATTCCCCACCCAAGAACCCTAATTTCAACAGGAGACAATCTACCATTCGTCTTAGTTGGAGACGAAGCATTTGCACTTTCCCAGAATTTACTTAGGCCATATGGGGGCCATAGTTTAAATATTAATAAAAGAATTTTCAATTATCGCTTATGTCGAGCGCGACGGTACATAGAATGTTCGTTCGGTATATTAGTGAATAAGTGGCGAATATTTCACAGAGCCATAAATGTTGGTAAGGAGTACGCAAAAGATATTGTTAAAGCGTGCATAATTTTGCACAACCTAGTTCGAGAAAAAGATGGCACTCGTGTAGAAGATATGTACGCACCAGACAGAGAGCTACAAAATCTACCACCAACTACAGCATGTCGCGGTGGACGAGCTGCCAATGATGTTCGCGATAAATTTGCAGAATTCTTTGTGAGTCCAGAGGGATCCTTACCATGGCAAATGTCTAAAATTTAGCGCATAAGTTACTGCTTCTGGTTCTATTTAATGTCTTTATACTTAGATATTACTTTTACATTTAGGCAAGTGTTCTTTAAGTTTAAAGCTCAAATAGGTACATATGTACTAACCTAGATCTGTAACGTAGGCTGTAAATGTGAATAAATACAGGTAAAAACATGCACTTACCAATTTTTTGCTGTTCTTGTTCATTTAAATTATCGAAATTGGCTTCAAGGTATTTATGCACTTCTTTCCACTCACGTTTTTTCAATATCTTGTCTTTGTAAGTCTCGGAAAATTTATTCCACAAACAGGGCCTTGCTTCCACCAATTCAATGAGTGTAACAATGTCGCAATTAAATTTAGTCACACTCATATTAAGTATAACCCGTGTTCCAGCAACCAGTCAATACGCCAAACTACTCGTGCGACACTGAGTTTCAAAAGTGATATGACACACCGATAACGACAAGTCGGAACGTGTGAATGTGCCTATTTAGTTTGCATTGCGTACTAAACCGGGCGATAATTTACTGGCCGATTTTAACTCGACCATCCGACAGACGCAACGATATCGAACACGGCTACCGATATATTTATCGGGTCGGTTTTTGTGTAAAACTATTCATTTAAGGCAATGTATTTGTTAGGCAAACCGATACCGATACCGATAACGACACCGATAATATCGGTGTGTGTGAAACCGCGCTTAGGGTACATTAGGGCACAATGTTCTCATGTAACGGCCAATGTCTAACTAAATAATGTTCGTTTCTGGCTCTGCTGTACCATTCACAAAAAAGCAACAATGTTTTGTGACGCCACTCTGCAGTCCTGTGGGCAATGCAATAACTTTAAGATCGGCATAGATATTCCACTTATGATCTTCGTATTTGATGTTTTGGAGTAAAATGCGCATCTTCTGGTATGTTTATTTAATATTTGCAGCATGACCAACAGGAACTGATGGCCGTTCGTATTCCATTGAAAAACAAAACTGCCTCTAGACATGTGTTCGAAGAGTCAATAAATAGTCGCCAGTCGGTAAGTACATAGGAAATGTCAAGCTCATTCAGTAAACCTGAAATATTATGACAGTAAACTAAGTCATTTTTCATCGAGAACAATGCGGCTAGCATAGAACCTGTTCCGAAACGTGGAAATTTTCACACCTGTTTGTAAAAGGTTCCAATGCTGCAGACGAGATCCAATTAGTTGTGCCTTTATTTTGGGAAGATTTGAATCACGAACTAGATCATTGAGCTAGCTCTTCCTGAGATATAAAATGTGGCTGTTTGCTGCTACTACATTCAAAAACGACTTCCTCTTCAAAACTTGGAGCGGTTTCTGGCTCCTCTGTGTCAGAATCATCTGGTTCATCATATTTGTTTGGCGGCCTAGGAACAGGTATGCTAGAAAAGTCATGAGGTATAAGTATACTGGCTGAGGGGATATTAGGATACACGATGTTATGTATGCTTTTACTAGAAAATCACAGAATTTTTGTCAAGCAAAATTAACAATCATCAACACGATTCTTAGGTTCCCGCCAAATCAATGGCACTCCAAATTTCATAGAAGTGTGAGTACCCCAAGTACCCTAAGGTTCGTGAGCAAGTGCGGCAGCATGTTTTGAGAGCTCAAGTCTTGTCTTGATCGACAACTTTGAACGCGAAATATAACTTGTAAGCTTTTCTTACAAGTGGGTTCAAGGTCTTTCGCTGAGCTTTCAGTGTCACCTCCCCACAAATATAACAGAAACTGTTCGGATGGTCTACACAGGATCGCAACAGCATTTGGAACATCAGGTATTTTCTAGAAACAGCGGGAATCAAGAGATCGGAAACGATTTTTGTATACGGGGATAAATAAATCTGGAATTACATGGTGTTGAATGGGTATCTCCTTTATTTGAAGCCCTAGAGGGTTGAGACCTCGTAGATGAGGACATCCCTAGATACCCCCATGCGGTGTTGCCAGATTGTACGTACTGACCATAGACTACGAGAAAACGTAGACTTCGCAACGTCGTACCCCATTATGCTATAGAAAGGTAAATTAATATCGCACAGGTACATTCTTACACCTGCTTAAAGTATATTGTTGGTACTCTCTGGACTCCGTGATAAGACAATTTAAAGGTCGGTGTAAGGGTTAGATATGTAGAACTTATCGAAATAACGTATTTGTTTGGCGGAGAAGATTTTCGTACAGAACAATGTAATCTGACTATTTTATACCTGAAACTGCGAGAGGTGTAACGATGTGTTAATACCGATGGGTATCGGCAAACTATGCTTAGTCAATTTATGCACTTGCTTAGATAACTGTACAGTTTATTAACGTAGGAGGGAGCCACTTAGAGTGAACTTTTGAGATTTTTCGTTTCGGCGTTGTTGCGCGGTCACTGTGACCAGCAGATTCGTCTTCCATATACTTTTTTCTATAGGCACAGCTGGAAGGCAGAATTTATATCGATACGCACTCACTTGAAAGGGAATATCAGCAGCAAAGTTTGCGTAACTGAACTTGCTATGTTCCAACGCCTTGTACAAACGGCAACTCCGTAAGTGTATTCAGTGCAATGGATGCAATGTATATGACGCATTCATCATAAATTCGCATCTCTAGAGATTTATGTTTCATAAAAACATTTTTTTTTTAAAATGACTCATATCTTAATCGGCATAAAATGTTGCATATATCAAATCTTCCGCTATCCCGGGGGCATTTTAACACTATGGTATAGGATTCGGCACCAGCCTTAATTTTATTGTTCAATTTCAATTTATTCAACCAATAACAAGCCGGGTGCCGAAATCACTACCGGAATGCTAAACAGTGCTGAGCATGGGGTCAGAATGTTATCAGTTTAAATTTACTTACCTTCCGCTAAAAATACGTAAGATAATAATCAACGCACGTTGTTTTCTATTACGATATTTAATGATTTTAAAATTAATAATTTGGTTTAGCAATAAGAAAAATTACATGAAAAATTTATATATATATTTATATAGGTGAAAAATTAAAGCTTCCGCCTTTTGTTGGGTACTTCGACAAAATTTAAGCAAGGAGGACTCTTTATACTTTTTTTATTCTCTCTAGCTTTCAATGGTCTTTGCCATCATCATCAGGAGAGTAGTATGTGAGGATGTTGCTAATTGTTGTTTACGTTAAGGATGAGGGAAACACCCAGTAACATGGTGAAAGCTGGATAAATGGTACAATGATCAAAATTATATAAATTACACACAGCTGTATGACAAGAACAAGTTAAAAACAGATAAAAATTTTTTTTAGAAATTGAAAGTTAAACATTACATCGTGAAGCCACTTGATGATTGCACAAAATGGTGGGCATGTGCAATCATCAAGTGGCTTCACGATGTTTAACTTTCAATTTCTAAAAAAAATTTTAATCTGTTTTTAACTTGTTCTTGTCATACAGCTGTGTGTATTTTATATAATTTTGGCCATTGTACCATTTATCCAGCTTTCACCATGTTACTGGGTGTTTCCCTCATCCTTAACGTAAACAACAATTAACAACATCCTCACATACTACTCTCCTGATGATGATGGCAAAGACCATTGAAAGCTAGAGAGAATAAAAAAAGTATCAAGAGTCCTCCTTACTTAAATTTTGTCGAAGTACCCAACAAAAGGCGGAAGCTTTAATTTTTCACCTAACTGGTCTAGCCGACAATGACCACGTCTCAAGTTATATTTATATATATATTAGTAGAAGCAGTTTATTGATAACATTCTGACACTGTTTTCAGCACTGTTTAACATTCCGGTAGTGATTTCGGCACCCAGCTTGTTATTGGTTAAATAAATTTAAATTGACCAATAAAATTAAGGCTGGTGCCGAATCCTATACCATAGTGTTAAAATGCATCCCGGGGCTATACATTAGGTAAAGATGATAGAGCTCATAAAAAATCGAAATAATTTATATTGAGCGTTCCTTACGAGGTGACGCTCCCAATTTTGCAACTTTTCGTAACAGATCTTCATTTTTTCAAATGAAACACACTATTCTATACAGTATATCCCAGATTCGCCTCTCTATACAGGGATCTCGGCTCCTGTTATACCTACAGCAAAGGTTAAATGGGGAAAGTTTTAGAAGAAACTTAGAGCATTCGATAGCTGGCTTCAGATTTACGATAGGTCAATTAGTTTTGGAAATATCGGAGAAAAATCGAAAATGTCGAATTTTGTCAAAATGTGACGTTATTCGAAATTATTTTTTTTGAGTCAAATTCTCTTTTCACGCAACCTGCCTCAGCTTCTATTTTTCTTATGGCCGCTATATTGGATTTTTCAATTTTTGAAAAGAGCGTAACATTTCCAGCCTAGTGATGTCTCACAAGTGCATAAAAGATTGGAGTATCATCGAAATATCACGTAATGTTATGTATTGATTTTTTTCTAAGGAGCCCATGATGTGTTAATCCGAAAATAAAATTAATAAGTAACGCATTTTTTTCATGTAACGAGGCTCTGACTCTGACGCTAAATAATTCAAAGTATTAAAATTGTGTTTTAATAAGTAGTAGGTACGCCGGCATCACCTCAGAAAGGTACTTGGAGATGTGCCCCGAACGACTTCAGCTTCATAAAACCCAATTCAGAAAAATTGTAGATAATGGGGCCTTCGAACACCCTAGAAGCGGATACAATATTGAAAATGAAAATCGCGACAGAAACATTTCACAAGCTGTCAACGAAATCTCTGAGACTCAGTAAGAACTGTAGAACGAGAAATTGATGTGTCCAAAGCAACAACATACAAAATTAAGTACCATCCATACAAACCTACAATAGTTGAAGGAGTTAAGAAAACTGGTTTTACAATGCGAATGCGTTTCTGTGAGTGGTATACCAGGAAGTCTAATGATTTTGTAAATTATGTCTTGTGGTCCGATGATAATAGGTTTACGAATTGTAGAGTTTTTAATAAGCATAATACTCGGAAAACACTCACGAAGTGGCAAAGAGACGTCTACAGACCAGATTTGGAACTAACATTTGGTGTGGGGTCATTGGTAAGTTAATCTAACTTACCTTTTTTAATTTGGCACCTATTTGAAATCAGGTATTAATCAGGAACTTCTGAAGAGAGCAGTTTGTTGAAAGAATAATATCATTAAATGGTTCAATATATTGGCCTCCTAGATACCCTGACCTTTCACCATTGGATTTCAACTTCTGTCAATCTGTAAATTAATACCCACTTACATAATTAGATTTTACATTACATTACAATTTTGTAAAATGTTTGTTCAAGTGCAAAATAAATTTACGACGATATCTCTGACATGTCTTTTTAACATACTCATAGTTTGGAATTTGTCCCAAAACATTTGACTTGTTAGGAAGTCGATATTTAAGTTAACATTCTACTAAAAATTCAAGGCGTTTCTGTGTTTTTTATGCCTTACTCATTAATGTCACTTTCTGACAAATGAATCATGGCCTCCTTAGAAAAAAAAACTAATACATGACATTACGTGTGATAATAATTTGGTGATACTCCAATCTTTTATGCAGTTATGAGACATCACTAGACTGGAAATTTTACACACCTTTCAGAAATCAGAAAATCCAATATGGCGTCCTTAAGAAAAAAGAAAGTTGAGTCGGGTTGCTGGAAAACAAAAGACATTGGAAACATGTTATACATGCTATCTTATATTTTTTAATGCCTGAATAAGATTACATTCTAAC